GAGAGACATCTCGCCCGAATCGTTCAGGATTTTGAGAATTTGAATTTTTATACTCCAATGGCGTATTTTTGTTGGCATTATTTTCCCGATGTTCACCTAAATTTATAGGAGTATCCTCCCGCTGAACGTTGGGCGCCATTATGGAGGTGCTGAATTTCAGGGGTTTCTGTGACTCACCATTCGTTAAATCTACAGCACTGTGTGTACCGGTTTTGTTCGATTCATTGTCGTGGTCTGGGGATTTTTGGGTGTGAATCTCATCTTGTTTTACGTTGGGCGCCATTGTGCCTTTTTCTCTTAGAATATGAGAAATATCTCTCCCAACTCTCTCAAAATTTTGCACCCTATCTTTATTAGGCTCTATTGGCGTATTTTGGTTGATCAGAACTTCCTGTTGCCCGTTGGGCGCCATGGTGGCAATGCCTCCAAAAATTTGTAACACTTCCCTTGTCAGAATTGCATCAATTTCCACACTGGCCTGAGTACCGCCAGGAGATGCGTCTAACGTTGTAGGACTCCCTGAATCCCATGCCTTGCTGGGAAAATTCTCTGGACTTTTGTTGGGCCCCATTGAGGCACTGCTATCCAGTATGTGTGATACATCTCTGTTATTTCGTTGTTTATTTGGTGGCCCCGGTTCATCGAAGGTAGCATAATCCTCTTGCATAGGAAGAGCTATTATCTGATGTACGTTGGGCGCCATTGCTGTACTACTCTCCATTCCTGTTGTATCTCCTCCATTCTTCTCATATTCCAGCTTAGATTGAATGGTGCCAACAGGCTCCTCTTCCCTTGTCGGGTCTAATAAATCCATTGGTTTTACGTTGGGCGCCATTGTGCTGGTACTACCCACATCTCTGGTATAACGTTCCACATTTTGATAGTCTGTGGGACCTTCCGTTCCTGGTGCAAAGTAATCCTTATGTTCTGCAATTTTCCAGCCTTGAGATCCTATTATTTTCTGCTGCTGTGTTTCTCTGGCATTTGTGGTTCCCAAAATAACTAGAAATCCAAAAACAAAAAATTAATAAATTTTCGAAAAATCCATGTTCAATTACCTGCAGCTTGACTTACCCAACAATACTAGAAATCCATTCATATTGTGATTTTCGGCAACAAATTTACAAAAGACTGCAGTTCGCAGCCAGTAGGTCACAGGGTTTTATACCTGTGGACGCTTCAAAAAAAAATCCTCTCATATCCTTGTTGTTTCGAACTTGTTCGCTAGACTAGTTTGCCGGAGCTTCTTCATTTAATTGGCTGTTCCACAACCACCACCTCCACCGAATTTCAACTTTATTTTTGTATAACCAGTTCCGTACTGAGATTGCGTGTATTTATCTTCATCTGGATCAGTTGACCGGTTTCCGATGTTGATGAGCTTCTTACATAACACAGTTTTAATATCGAACAAATTAAATTGTTTTTTTAGGAAAAAAATGCATTGTTTTGGTTTCCAGTTCGTGAACACAATGGCCAATGACACGGAGAGGTGCGACTGGAAGTGTTTCGGACAAAACAATGTCAATGTCACACAACTGGATGGGGATAAGGAAGGGAAAATCTGTTGTTTTTTCCCTTTTTTGTGATGCGTCGGGACAAGTTTGTTTTTTTTTTAGCAAAACTGGAGTGATTCAAAGATGGTAGGAAGTTTTAGACTTCGAGGGAGGAATACGACGAAAAGGGGTATTCAAAGATGACTGAAGTGGAGTTTCCATTGGCAGTTAATGGGAAGTTCAATAAAACTTCCTTAAACTGCCTTAAATCGTTAATGTATGGTGGAGTGAAAACGACTGATTGATAATGACAAATATGGAACATCTAAAGAAGACCTAAACAGAGTATTTGTGGATAAATGTTGAGGATTGAACCCTTTAAAACCTATAAAAACGATTTTGGGCGCCATTTTGGGACATTTTTCCGTCCGCCGTAGGTTTATTGAGAACAAAATACTAATATGCTTTTATTAAGTTTATCTTTACGGTTTAATACAGTTGCAAGCATACTCGACCTGCTTACATAGGGTTAGAAACCCCTTCAGAAAAGCATGCCGAATTTCTCTTAAAAGTCTATTTTTTAGGAGAAAATCTTTCCAAAAATGTTTTGCTGAAGTTTATTTTTGAGGAGGACATTTTTTCTTGTAATTTTATAAGTTTGTATATGCTCCTAACTGCCACATACTTGAACAATCTTAATCTTTAATAGGTTTCTATAGGAAAGAAAAAAAACTTCAAAGATTTTCTAAGTTCTTTAAAAAGATTTGTTATATTTTAACAGAAAATTTCATAGAATATGTTAATGATGAAGCTTTCCTGACAACACCTTGTTTGAATTACGTTGGGCGCCATTTTGAGCGACTAAAACTCCTTTTGGGACGCAGAAAATACATACCGTTTCTGGTGTTGTTATTCTAATAATATATTCTGGGGCTATATGTTGGGCGCCATTTTATTTTTTTTAATAAAGCATTTGGGTATTGTTTTTTTTTTAATTTCGTGTCGTACCGGGTTTCTGAGTATCAAGAACAACACCCTTTTTAGTTTTGTAAAACCTGAAAACTTTCAAAAACAAATTTGTTTAAGTTTTATATATAATACCTATTGGAGGTGGACGTTGGGCGCCACTTGGAAGATTTTTTTGTTTAAGCATTTGAGCACCAAAATACTCATTCGCTTGGCAGTCTATGTGCACTGTACGGTTGGCGCCATTTTAGTATTTGCACCACATAGTGGTAAGGGTATTATGTCTTTGTGCATTTGTTTGTAACATGGAGAAGGAAACGAGATAGACCCATAGTTCCTTTTGATGATCAGCATAGAATCATATTTTGAGTCGATTTATGCTGTCCATGTATTTTTGTAAACAAAATGCAGGTCGCAGTTATCATTCGATTAAGATGAAATTTTGCATAAGTCATTTGTTTGACCCAAGGACGAACCCTAATGAAATTGGAGATAATCGGTAAAAATTTAGATATAGCTCCCATATATATATCTTCGTCCGATTTGCCTTTATATAGCTATAGCTCTCATATATATTGCTTAACCGATTTTTTATTTTTGTCCTCCGCAGCCGTAATATGCACTCTGTAACAACAATATTTGGGGAAATATATCAAATACAGCTCAGAAATAACTTTGCTAAATTTTATCCAGATCGGGGCAAATTTGGATATAGCTCCCATATATAACTTCATCCGATTTGCCTTTTATTGTGCACCAAACGTGTAATATTAGACCAAATGGCATGGAACTTGGCATTTACGACCGAATTTAGTCGTCAAATTTTGTGAAGATCGGTTCAGATATAGCTATAGTTCCCATATATATTGTTCATCCGATTTGTTATATTTGTTCCCCACAGCCGTAATATGCACTCTGTAACAACGATATTCAGGGACATATATCAAATACAGCTCAGAAATATCTATGCCAAATTTTATCGAGATCGGTTCAGATTTGGATATAGCTCCAATAATCCGATTTCAAGTTAATTGTGCCCCAAATGGGCAATACAAGCCCCAATTGAAAAGATACAATTTCTTCGGCAAATTAAGTGCTTTGAACTTAAATTATAATTATAATCATAGCTTGTATGATTTAATTATACCACAAAAACGTTTAATTGTTATGTAAAGCTCTACTAAATATGCAAAGTGGTGTAGGGTTTCATAAAGTCGGCCCCGCCCGACTTTAAGACTTTTTTACTGGTTTTATATGAGTATCGGGTGAAACATTAAAACATTTCAGCTTAAATCTTCAAAATGTTGTTCCCTGAGGTAATTCAGGAAAAAACACAGCTGGTTATAATATCTCAGGTAAGAACCACACAGTGCAAACTTTTTAAACAACCTTTAAAAAAATGTTCAATAGAAACGACTTTTCCTAAGTTTTTCTTGATTATCTAAGTATTTCGGTTTCAACCTTAATAATGTTGTACCCTGAGATTATTGAGCATCAAAAACTCATCAGATTTTAACAGCATGTTCAGTTATTTACAAACTTTGAAGTAATTCCAACATTTTTTCACAAAAACCCAAAAGACATTCGAAAAACATGTTTAAATGAAGTTATGAAAATCGTTAATTAAAGTTTTCCTATTAATATGTTTTAAAGCTATACGTTGGGCGCCATTTTGGTTCATCAAACATTCCGATCTCAACCTTAAAAGTATTGTACCGTGGATTTATTGAGAACAAAAAAGTAGTCTGGTATTAAAAAGATTTCTCCTCAGTTGACAGCCCACGTGATACAGAAACCAGTAAGCATACTCGCATAGTGTGCAACATTTGCAAACCCTGAAAATTTTCTGAAATCAGATAAAATTTCTGAAAAACGCTTAATTTTATTGAAAAAAAAAAAAATTATTAACTGATTTTTTTTCCTTTGATATTATAATAATGCTTTACGTTGAGCGCCATCCATCATTTCTCATTTCTTGTCACAACAGATATCTAAAATATTTATGAAATCCGAAATATGAAATTTATGACAAATTTAAACTTACTTGTCCAAAAGCTGGTGTCACCATTTTGAAAGGAGTGGGCATGGTGCGCTCCCAAAGAGGCCTACTTTTTGTTATTTCTTAAGAATATAATTTTTAGAGAAAGTTACAATTATTTCTTGAACACTATTACTATTTTCTTCGGGCACAACTTGAATGAAATAAAACTTTTTAGGCATGGAAAGCCATGAAGTAATATTTTCATAGAAGAATAACTGAGAGTGTCCTTTTGTTCTGGTCATACATTCTTTTGTATATGTTACGACCTCTTAACACATTTTTAAACATGTATTGAAATAATACGGCTAAAACCTGGTATTCTGATATTTTTCATAGTAAGGAGGCTACACCAGATTTCTAAATTTCTGTAGATTATATTTTCTTTACAGATTCCTCTTATATATCCCGATCCCTATATATCCTGTAGTTTGTAAAAAATCTATTTTTATTTTTTTATAAAATTTATTTATTTATTAAAAAATGCAACCAATTTTCTCTCTTAATCCGAATACAACAAGAATAAAAAAACTCAACGATTAACTCAAAAATCCTCTCTTCTCTCATTCATCCTCTCTCCATCTCAAATCAAATCACTATCCTTGCAGTGTTCCAACCAATGCATTAGACAGCGATCATCTTTGGTGGCGGTGAATTTCTCCTTGGGATGTTTGCAGTTATAGCCGTCCATGATGCATTGATTGGGGAATTCATGGATGCAAATGCCGTTGGTGGCACAAATGGGTTCCAGCTCAAATTTGGTGCACAACAAATCGCAGGGATCTATTTTGGAACGGAGCAGTGGATGGACGGCCTTACCCGTGGTGGTTGTGGTGGTGGTGGTGGTCGTGGTGCTTACTGGCGTTTTTGCTGTGGTCACCTTGGCTTCCAGGGCCATTGCAGTGGTGGAGGGAACTCCAGTGGTCATTGAATTCATTGCTGATGTCAATATCACAGGTGTATTAGTCACAACTTGCCTTTTCAAACGTTTATCGGCAGTGGTCATATTTTTGTTGGACTTCCGGGTGTCTGTGGTAATGGGTGGTGGTAGGGTTGTAATATGCGGTACGGTTACCTCATCTTTTATATGTGGATGACTTAGGACTTCGGAAATAACTGTTTCCTTGGCAAAGAATTCCTCTGAGGAGTTTTCTTCGAATGATTCCTCAGATGTATCTTCCTCCGATGACGAAGAATCTGGAAAATTACCTACATGATAAAAATCCGGATGCCAACCGTAGTCATGTTCGACGTAATTGTCATGTATTTCCCAGCCCTCACCGGGGGAGCGCTTTTCCATGTTGTGATCATCATCACCATGGTCCTTCTTGTCTCCGGAGTCGCCATGATCACCTGAGTCCTTGTGGCCATCATCATTGCCATGACCATCATCATGTCCTGAATCCTTATTATCATCTTCTACGGACCGCTTATGCCAATGGTGATCATCGTCCTTGTTATTCCAGCCATCGTTATCCTTGTTACCCCATTGGTGGCCATCATCATGGTTGTTCCACGAATCCTTGTGACCCCAGGTGCTATGATCATCCCAATCGGCAGACCTCTTCTTCATGTCATGATCATCTCCATGGTTATCCTTGTCACCGGAGTCGCCATGGTCACCTGAGTCCTTGTGGCCATCATCATTGCCATGACCATCATCATGTCCTGAATCCTTATCATCATCTCCTACCGACCGCTTATGCCAATGGTGATCATCGTCCTTGTTACTCCAGCCATCATTATCCTTGTTACCCCATTGGTGGCCACCATCATGGTTGTTCCAACTGTTGCTATGCCACGTGTCCTTGTGACCCCAGTTGCCATGGTCATCCCAATCGGCAGACCTCTTCTTCATGTCATGATCATCTCCATGGTTATCCTTGTCACCGGAGTCGCCATGGTCACCTGAGTCCTTGTGGCCATCATGATTGCCATGACCATCATCATGTCCGGAATCCTTATCATCATCTCCTAAGGACCGCTTATGCCAATGGTGATCAGCGTCCTTGTTATTCCAGCCATCGTTGTCCTTGTTACCCCATTGGTGGCCATCATCATGGTTGTTCCAATTGTTGCTATGCCACGTGTCCTTGTGACCCCAGTTGTTGTCCCAATCGGCTGATCTCTTCTTCATGTCATGATCATCTCCATGGTTATCCTTATCTCCAGAGTCGCCATGGTCACCTGAGTCCTTGTGGCCATCATCATTGCCATGACCATCATCATGTCCTGAATCCTTGTCATCATCTCCTACGGACCGCTTATGCCAATGGTGATCATCGTCCTTGCTATTCCAGCCATCATTATCCTTGTTACCCCATTGGTGGCCATCATCATGGTGGTTCCAATCGTTACTATTCCACGAGTCCTTGTGACCCCAGTTGCCATGATCATCCCAATCAGCAGATCTCTTCTTCATGTCATGATCATCTCCATGATTATCCTTGTCACCGGAGTCGCCATGGTCACCTGAGTCCTTGTGGCCATCATCATTACCATGACTATCGTCATGTCCTGTATCCTTGTCATCATCACCTACGGATCTCTTATGCCAATGGTGATCATCGCCTTTGTTATTCCAGCCATCGTTATCCTTGTTACCCCATTGGTGGCCATCATCATGGTTGTTCCAGTTATTGCTATGCCATGTATCCTTGTGACCCCAGTTGCTGTCCCAATCGGCTGATCTCTTCTTCATGTCATGATCATCTCCATTGTTATCCTTGTCACCGGAGTCGCCATGGTCACCTGAGTTCTTGTGGCCATCATCATTGCCATGACCATCATCATGTCCTGAATCCTTATCATCATCTCCAACGGACCGCTTATGCCAATGATGATCATCGTCCTTGTTATTCCAGCCATCATTATCCTTGTTACCCCATTGGTGGCCATCATCATGGTTGTTCCAACTGTTGCTATGCCACGTGTCCTTGTGACCCCAGTTGCCATGGTCATCCCAATCGGCAGACCTCTTCTTCATGTCATGATCATGTCCATGGTTATCCTTGTCCCCGGAGTCACCATTGTCACCTGAGTCCTTATGGCCATCATCATTGCCATGACTATCGTCATGTCCTGAATCCTTATCATCATCTCCTACGGACCTCTTATGCCAATGGTGATCATCGTCCTTGCTATTCCAGCCATCATTATCCTTGTTACCCCATTGGTGCCCATCATCATGGGTGTTCCAATTATTGCTATGCCATGTATCCTTGTGACCCCACTTGCTGTCCCAATCGGCTGATCTCTTCTTCATGTCATGATCATCTCCATGGTTATCCTTGTCTCCAGTGTCCCCATGGTCACCAGAGTCCTTGTGGCCATCATCATTGCCATGACCATCATCATGTCCTGAATCCTTGTCATCATCTCCTACGGACCGCTTATGCCAATGGTGATCATCGTCCTTGCTATTCCAGCCATCATTATCCTTGTTACCCCATTGGTGGCCATCATCATGGTGGTTCCAATCGTTACTATTCCACGAGTCCTTGTGACCCCAGTTGCCATGATCATCCCAATCGGCTGATCTCTTCTTCATGTCGTGATCATCTCCATGGTTATCCTTGTCTCCAGAGTCGCCATGGTCACCTGAGTCCTTGTGGCCATCATCATGTCCTGAATCCTTATCATCATCTCCTACGGACCGCGTATGCCAATGGTGATCATTGTCCTTGTTATTCCAGCCATCATTATCCTTGTTACCCCATTGGTGGCCATCATCCTTCTGATTCCAGTTATTGCTATGCCATGTATCCTTGTGACCCCAGTTGTTGTCCCAATCGGCTGATCTCTTCTTCATGTCATGATCATCTCCATGGTTATCCTTGTCTCCGGAGTCGCCATGGTCACCTGAGTCCTTGTGGCCATCACAATCGCCACCATGACCATCATCATGTCCTGAATCCTTATCATCATCTCCTACGGACCTCTTATGCCAATGGTGATCATCGTCCTTGTTATTCCAGCCATCATCATCCTTATTACCCCATTGGTGGCCATCGCCATGGTTGTTCCAATTGTTGTTGTGCGACGAACCCATGTGATCCCAATCGGCAGACCTCTTCTTCATGTCATGATCATCTCCATGGTTATCCTTGTCTCCGGAGTCGCCATGGTCACCTGAGTCCTTGTGGCCATCATCATGTCCAGAATCCTTATCATCATCTCCTACGGACCTCTTATGCCAATGGTGATCATCGTCCTTGTTATTCCAGCTATCATCATCCTTGTTACCCCATTGGTGACCATGGTTGTTCCAATTGTTGCTATGCCACGAATCCTTGTGACCCCAGTTGCCATGATCATTCCAATCGCTGGATCTCTTATGCATATCATGATTATCGCCTTTGTGATTCCAATTGACATTTTGTCCTGCATCCTTTCCATTATCATTTTTGTTATCCCAGTCATCATCGTCGCCCCAATGAACACCAGCCCAATGGTTGTCATCATCGACAGATCTTTGCTTGACCACATGATCTACAACCACTGTTGGTAAGGTTGGTGGGATAATGGATAGTCCTGGCTTGACAGTAACCTTGGCCGTTGGTTTTGTGGTGACCGGTAAGGGCAGTTTTGTTGGCATCACCACATCTACAACATTTGGCACTGGAGTTGGAACTGCCTGACCAACAACTTTGTTATCCTTGGTGACCTCCACCACAACTGCTGGCACTTCCACATTATCCTGCTTGCCAGCCAACACCTGGGTACTGACGGTGTGAGTGACGTTTAAAGGCACTGTTGCTGCCTGTATGGCCAGCAAACCTATGGAGACACAAGAAGAGGAGAAAATATGTAAAATTGAGTTCCTGCTTTTCAGGAACCAGCCACAACTTACCTGCCAAAAATATCACCAATATGTTCATGTTACTACTTCTCAGCTTGCAGTTGAACTGCTTGTATTCTCCACTTGTGTTCGGAAGTTTTTATATGATTTGGTTTTTTTCTTCTTCCTACTCTTGAAACCCCCAAACGAACAACTTTCTTTTTTCTTGCATCAGCTGCAGCCAGGAAAATTCTCCATTGAAGAAGAATTGAATTCTAATTTTATCCTTGGAGATTCAGATCACCAAAAATACAAACATCTTGACGTCAGATCTTGTTGGATATATTTTTCCATACTACCTCTTCCACCTTCTGTAGAAGCACCCAACCCATCCATCCCAGCAATTGAAACACATCACCAAGATCTTGTTTTATTTCTAAAAATAAAAATTTATTTGCCATGTTTGTTCGTTCGCTAATTGCTAAATGTATATTTACAATGTCAGTTTTTTTTTTTCATTTTCAGAAGGTGTAACATACATACCTACACCCACATACATACATGTGTATGTGTATGTGAGGTCATAAATTTGCTTGCTTTAATAAGTGCTTAATTTAATTAAATACAGTTTTTTATGGGGTTTGTTTGGTCACAGTTTGCTGCTTGAATGGTTAGTTCATTGCTAACGCCTAAAAGTATGCTTTGGCTTTTTGCCAACATAGCAATGGCTGGCAACGTTAGTTTACAAAGGCCAAATTGCAAATAAATTACATTCGTTGTTTATTAAATTAAGTGTTTATTAATTTAATAATTATTGTTTATCGTATATAAAATATTAATAATTTATTAAGGATATTTTATTTTTTATATATAATTATTTAAATACATATTTTTGATTATTTGTTTACCATTATTTTGATTCATTTCTTCGATTGTCCTTCTGTTAACGCAAATTTTTTTAGGATAGAGTAGTTTTTTGAGATTTTCAAATAAATAATTCGAAACCAAAATGAATATAAAAAAACCTCTATGAAGAGTGGAGTAGACACGCTGTCATTTTTAATGAAAAATTAAAAAATTAAATTAATTAAATTAAATTAATTAAATTAAAAAAATTAAATTAAAAAAATATTTAAAATCCACCAGATCCAACAAAATATATATATTCTTGATCATCGTAAAATTCTAGTTCGATTTTGGCGTGTCCGTTTGTCTGTTGTATTCACGCTATATTTCGAACGAATTGAAATAGAAAGCTAAAATTTTGCACTAGTGTTTTTTTTTTTGTCAGTACAGCCTAAGAAAGAAAATTGTCTGAGCAGGTCCACGTCTTCGTATAGCCCCCATATAACGGTACCTCCTGATATTCGGTATTTTGATGATTTTAGCGACATTATTCACAGGAATTGTTTCAAATTTGGCATTTGAAGTTCGAAATGGATACTACAGCCTAAGACAGAAAATTGTCCGAGCAGGTTCACGTCTTCGTATAGCTCCGATATAACGGTACATACCTCCTTATATTCGGTAGTTTAACGATTTTAGGTACAATACTCGCAGAAATTGTTTGAAATGTCGTATTTGAAGTTCGTAATGGATGCTATAGCCTGCGAGAGAAAATTGTCTATGCAGGTCCAGGCCTTCGTATAGCTCCGATATAACAGTACCTCCCTATATACGGTATTTTGGTGATTTTAGCTACATTATTTACCGTTTATTTCAAGTTTCGAATTTGAATATGGTAATGGCTTACAACAAACAATGCTTATGTAGGTCCACGTCGTATAGACCCCAATATAACAGCTATATTCGGTATTTTTAAGATTTTAACAGAATTTTTAACGGATTTTTTTTCGAAAATTTCGTTCGTTCCAAATAGTGGAGGGTATTCAAAGTTCGGCCCGCAGAACTTACTGCTTTTTATTTTTTTTTTTTTTTTGATTTTTGGACAAATTTGAGTTTTTGAGTCTTACCAAATTTGAGTTTTTTTTTTAGTGGTGCTCCACAAGAAAATATTACATTTTATTTTTTCATTTAATTTCAATATACCCTCCATCCGTCCGCCCGTCTGCCCCTCCGTCCGTCTGTGGAAATCACTCTAGCTTCCGAACGAAATGAAGTAGGTTGATAAAATTTTACTCAAATGTATATTATTTCTGCAGGACTTTAGGTATTGAAAATGGACTATGTATGCCATCGTTTGGTATAGCCCCCGTAGCGATATTCGGTATTTTGATGACTTACATCATTATTATTTTCCGGAATTATTTCAAATTCGATATTTACCAAATTCGTTCCAAATGTTGGAAGGTATTCAAAGTTCGTCCCTGCTTTTTTTCTTGTTTCTTTTATAATATTGAAAAATTTCCCCTTTTTATGATATTGAAAAATTACCTCATTCATCGTTCCATATCTTTTTTTAAATATTTGACCTACTCGGTATTCTCATTGTCTCCTATTGGAGATCATTTTCAATTGGTTTCATATTTTTGGTAATTTTCATCCAGATTTTTGTGACCAACATATTTATGCTTGGTGTCCCTTTTCAATACAATCTCATAGAGTTGTTCTAATTTCCCCCTGTTTCGGAACTATTGCTAAATTCCCTCCCCACAATCGGTTCTAGCTACCGGCGTGGATACAAAGATCCACTTGTCAAAAAAACTGCAAACTCTCCATCCATCATTTCCTCCAAGCTGATCGCACATTTTCGTCTGCTACACCTACACCTAACCGGAGTTATTGCACACTATGTATGTATCACAATAACAATTTGTCAGGACCCTTACAAAAAACTTGAATCGGTAGAAGGCACTCTTATATATAGGGGGCTATACAAAAAAAGTGGACGTGCTTTGAACATTTTTGGCGAGTAGTTAATTAACTCACTAAGAACACGAAATGTCAAATTAAACCTGAATTTATTTGGGAATTGGGACTGAAAATTTTAATCTCAAAAATTAGGAGATATCGGTATGGGGGGGGGGTCTATTTCTAAACGTTGATTGATTCAATGCGAAACCGATATTTTCAATACCAAAAATCAGATATAAATTTGGCTGAATAGACGTAGAATCTTATGTCGATCAAAAATATACATACTTCATTTATTCATATAGTAAGGCGAAGCCATGGTAGAAATACCAGGTAGCAACATAGGCGAAAATTACAACGAAGCAACTTTTCTGGAAACTTGATATGTAAAAATTGTAAGAAAGGCGAATTCAATTGAGGCAAATTGTTTTGCACCAATCAGAACATTTTATTTTGAAACACTGAATAATTTTGTTTTGGTTCATTGAAATTTAAAAAATTAAATTTTGCAAGAAAAAATTAGATTCGTTGTGATTTGTAATGTTTGATACAGACTCAGATTTTAGCGAACTGGGAAAGAAGAAAAATCTATTAGAACAGATTCCATAGGAAGTTCAAGAATTCTAAGTAAGACAAGAAACAAAGAAGTCGTCCTTTGATCGTGGATTTCTGAACATTAAAGATTCCTTCAACAAATCAAACCCTTGATTATTAAAAAACATTTCCGGGCCTATTAAAGATCATTTCCCTGGATTTTGAAGAACATTTCCGCATCTCAATTCGTAAAATTTAAAGGATATCCTCGAATCTCAAGTTGTGGCTTTAGAAAAACTCCGGGTCAAAAATAACAGTTTTTAAAAATACTTCCGGATCTCAATTCGTGGTTTTTAAAGAACTTCTCCAGGGTATATATTGGATCTGTTATGATTTACTTTTTCCCTCAACATTATCAATAAAGGACCATACCGAATATTACAATGGTTCTTCTCAAATTGATTTGCATGAGGGTAATGAATATATTTTTGCCTTTTAAATTAATAAAAATATTGAACAATGAAAAGAATCCTTTGGAAGGATTTATTTTTTAAGGCAATTTTAATTTTGAAGGATTCAGAAGAAATCTTATAATGATGAATATTAGGAAATAGACATCTACATAAACTATATTTCTTCTAACTGCCTCTAGATATTAATAAATGGAATGATTGGGGTTGTTTTTATGTACGTGACTTCTGATTGCACTCTTGAATGCATTTATACAAATATTAACTTAAGGAAGGTATTGGACTTAGCTTGTCCTCCAATTTACGTTCGTTTACAAACAATACAACACCTCACATTTTTTGGATTTTTTTTCCAAATTTTTCAATTTTAATAGGGCGAATTCGAATTACAACTACTTGTTTGACATATCAAGTTGACTACAGCTGGCCTGAAAGCGTTACCTTATAATTCTGCCATGCGGAAAAGCCTTACAAAAAATATATTTCATTATGTAATGCCTTCAATCTCAACCATATGAATTAATTAGATAAGAACATTTTGAGCTTCAACCGAAAAGCATTATTCAAATAGGATAGCATTCGTAAAGTTAAGTTAAATTGTTTCAACTACACTGCATATATAATATGCTTATGTTGGAGGGTATAAAAAGTAACACGGTACTCTGGATGGATGTTAAAGCCCATTTTTTATACCTACCAACCTAGAGATAATACAAAATCGTATTTTAAAGCTTTATATATATTTTGGATTTCAATAGGTTGACAAACATATATAGCTATATTGATTTAGTATTTTATGCTGATCAAAAGCGGAAACGCAATAATAGATATAATTTACCCTCATCTTATGGTGAAGAGTATAATCATTTAGAGTGAAAACGTTAAAAGAAAAATTTTTATGGAAAAGTGAATTTTTATGTCTTTTATCTTCTTTTGGGGATTTTTCTTGGGTCATTATTACACCATCTTCGAGAATTTTTTTTTTATCAAAATTCATAAAAATAATAATTTGCAACCAAAAAATATTCCAATTGTTTAGTTTTTTTTTCTATTTGAAATTATTATTTATATATTTTCTTCATTTATTTTACAAAAATAATGACTACATTAACAATTAGATTAATTTTAAAATACATATTTATAGTTTACAGATGCATTTAACAATATGTTTGCCTTAATGTTTGTTGTGGGTTTATTTTATTCTTTTGGTTTAAACCAATTTTGTTTATAAACTAATGTTAAAAAAAAACTTGTTTACAAAAGCAAGAGGAAAATAAACAGCTCAAAATTTTGTTACAAACAAAAAAAAATATAGGAAGGAAGAATGAAAACTTATTAACATTTAACAAACATCTAAAAAGGAAAAATTTTGGAAAAATTGATTTTTCTAAAAAAGAGACTTTTTACAAAAACAAAATAATTATATTATAAAAACTTTTTGATTTTTTTTAAACTATACTAAAATTTTGTTGTTCTTTAAGGTTATATTAGAGAGATTATGGATTACATGCCATTGTGTTTGTTTTGTATATAATTATATAATTTAACTTAAATTACTAATTTTTATTTTTGTTTGTATAATTATTAAGTGAGTGAGTTATTATTTTAATAGTTGTGTATAGAAGGGGTTTTGGGGGGTTTGTTAACTAAACTTACAATCTATTGAAAAATCATAAAATTTATTTGACATTTTCTTATATTTTTCTTTGTTTTATTAATTTGTATAATTACATTTTATTTTTTGTTCTTTTTAAAAAAATAATATTAATAAAAATTAATTTCTTTTTAAATATAATTGGCCTTGATTGTGTTGTAGATATTATTTTTTATTATTGTTATTGTTGTTTATGGCTTTCACTTCCAATAGTTGGGGACATTTCTCCACAATATTCAAAAGTATGGTATCGATGTAGTGTTTAAGGCGGGTGTTTTCTTCCTCTTTTTCTTGGAAGGCTTGTTGTAACTATAAAAAATATAAAAATTAAAAAAATCAATAAATTAGTAAAATCAATAACAATAAAATACAAATAAAAAACATTTATTAAAATCAACTACCACCCAAAAAAATTTGAGAAAAAAATCTCTCCACCTTTCCCTTAATTTTTTTTAATTTTTAAAATTAACATTCCAGGTTAGTTATTTCAACACAAAATAATGGAAAAATGTTTGTTTTATGGTTTTCAATGAAAAAAATGTATTTTTTGATGAATTTGTATTCGTTTGTTTCAAAATATTACCTGACTTAAGGATGCTAATGTGGCTGAATCCACAGAATCCTGGAATTGTTTGATTTTTGTTTTGTGTAAATCATAAAAAAGAAGAGAAAGAAAAAAAACACAAAATAATGAAAGTTTGATATGATAAAAACAACAACAACAAATCAAGATTTTTTAAACATTTTTTTGTTTGTAAGTAAAGGGGGGGCATCTTGCAAACAAAGGACAAAACAATGTGATTTGAGTTATTTAATAAAAAAAATGGAATGGAGGTTAGATAAAATAATTGAAATCATGCAAATGAAATGAAATTAATAGGGGGAAGTGATTCAAAATGATTTGGTTTGAATTCGGATGTTGGAATGAGCAGCAAACTTAAGGGCCTAAGGACTTCCTTTAAAAAAATATTTTCCATAAAAAGACACTCTTTGAAGTAATTCTATAGAAAAAAGTCTCATCCTGAGGTAAGTTTTTCTATAGAAAAATATCTCCTCGGTGGCCTGAGGTAAGAAAAAAGTCCCCTCAGTGGTCGCAGGTCATTTTTTCTAGAGATGTCTCCTCAGGACCAGAGGAATTCACCTGAGGTCCTGGCCTGAGGAATTTTTTCTATAATAAAACCACCTCAGTAATTTTTTCTATAAAAAATACGCCCACTAATTTTTCCTATAGAAAAAAATTAACTCAGTCATTTTTTCTATAGAAAAAACTCAACTCAGTCATTTTTTCTATAGAAAAAACTCAACTCAGTTATTTTTTCTATAGAAAAAAACACACCTCAGTAATTATTTCTATAGAAAAATCTCACCTCAGTAATATTTTCCATAGAAAAACCTCACCTCAGTATTTTTTTATATAGAAAAACCTCACCTCACAAAAAAATCACATCAGTAACTTTTTCTATAGAAAAAAAACATCTGTGGCCTGATGTAATTTTTCTATAAAAAACTGACTTCAATAATTTTTTCTATAGAAAAAACTCACCTCAATAATGTTTTGTAGAAATTTTTTGTAAAAATAAATTTTAAGATAATTTTGTAATATAGAAAAAAGTCCGCAAGTGGCCTGAGGTAATTTTTTCACATAGAAATCTCACCAATGGCCTGAGGAATTTTTTCATGTCGAAAAGGTCGGAGGTCTGAAGGGACTGAGGAAATAATTTTGATTACAATATTTTTCAGAGGCTTGATTGGAAAATAATTTTAATAGTCAACTACCCCAAGCTACAATGGGTCTTATGAGACATTCATTTTAAATTTTTAGTGCCTATTTTCAGGAGCTATGTGATTTATGACCCAGAATAAACCACATTAAACTAAACCAAAAACTGTCAACTCAGACGTTTCTGAAACAACAGACCGCATTTCTATTAAAAGGGGTTTCAAGGAAGCAGGGAATTTTTCAAGAGTATTTTTAAGAACAATCAAAAGTGGAACTTATTTATATTATTTTCAAGAGTTCCATGGAAAAATAATCCTGCGCATCAATAACCTCCAATGGGACAAATTAGGCATTCATGAAAGGGAACGACCCAAGCTTTATTAGGACAAGGACAGGTACTCTGACGTTTCAGAAACAACAGTAGAGCTTCTTTAATTTATTTCCACTATGGATATGATTATTTTTCCGGGGTTATCAGAATGTTAATAAATAAATATAAGCTACAGAATTAAAAATATATATTTCCCTAGGGCCTAGGGTAGGTTGTGAATTTGGTTTAGATATTATTCTGGGGCTCGATGGGAAAATAATTTATATCATAAACTAATGGGTCACATATTACATTCATGATGGAGGAGAGCCAAGTTCTACTAGGCCAAGAAGCTTCTGAATCAAAAGTAGAGCTTTAGGGTTTGTGAAGACGTTTTTAGTTCCTATCAAATTGTAAGATTCTTAAAAATAAATTTACGATTAGATTGTGGCTCTTTGTAAGAATATTCTTCGGGGGGCTATCATATTTTGGATTAAATAATAATTTTGTTCAAGGTTACTTTATTTTACGACTATCAGATCGTGAATTAGCTTAAAAGTTTTTTTTTCGGAATTATGGAATCTTTTCAGAATATATTTCTAGGGGGATTTTGTTTCGGATATTTTTAAAGGTTATTTTTCAGAAGCTTTGGGATTTTTATATAGTCTACAAGGGCCCATCCGGTTATGGATTTTATTTTGAATGGGAAATATGAACATTAGACACCCATGAACGATGTCCCTTCTGATTTACTTTAGAATTGTTTCCCCGGTTACGACTTTTTTTTGGAATATTTTTCTGATAAGTACAAATTCAATAATTTTCCAGGGGCGGTAGGAATTTTTTAGGAATAGGGAACATTTTTCGAGTCTATTTTAGTGTGAATAATTTTACAGGAGTTATTCATGTGCATATCAAGGACATTCTTCTATTCTAATATCTAAGACAGACATACTAATTTCAGGAGCTATGCAATTTTTTCCAGAACGTTTTGGACTTTTCAAGAAGATTTTTTAAGGGCATCAGATTTGCTCAGAATAATTTTCTAACTCTATCAGATCTTGAATTTACTTAAGAATAATGCCCCAAAGCTATGTGATTTTTTGAGAATATTTTTGGGCCCATTAGGTTATGGATTTTGTTAAAATATTTTTCCCCGAAGCGTTGGTATCTTTTAAGAATATTTTGCTAGGGTTTGTCTGGATTTTGTTTAGAATATGTGCATATTATTAAAGAAATTACTCGTGGGTATATCAAACATATTATATTCTAAAATTTGAATCAGATTTACTATTTTCAGATGCTAAGCAATGGTTTTTTTTTAAGTAACTTTTTGTAGGGTTCATAATACTGTGAATTCTGTTTATAATATTATTTAATGACTATCTGAAGAGCTTATTCAAAACAAAAAAATACCCATGGCTACATGAAGAGGATATTATATTTTTATGTTTGGAATAGATAGACGAACCATTTTTGGGGACGGAGGGGATTTTTTATGTGAGAAAAATTATCCATCGCCATATCAAGAGGGCGTATTATTTAAATGTTTGGGGCAAAAGAAAAACAGACCCATTTTGGGGAGCTATCGGTTTCTTACAATTTTTGAGTGCCTAACAGAATGTGGAAGTCTTAGAATATGTGTTAGTGACCTTCTAAATATGAATATTTTTGGAAAAAATATTAATGACCAAGTCGAAAGGTTTTCTATTTTCATATAAGGTACCAACTAAATTCATTTTATATTCTGTTTCAAAATTTCTTCTAGGTTCTATCAGGCTAAGATTTCGTTTAGAAGGGTCAATTTTTAGAAAAAAATATTTATGGATACATTCAAGAGGATATATTAGATTTTAATATTTGGGCCAGAAAGGCAAACAATTTCCTGAGATAAGGTATTTTTTATAAGATTTAAGGCCTATCAAAATGTGGAGTTTATTTCGAATATTTAATAAGTGACTATCTAAATTTGAGTTTTTTTTTTTTTGGAACAGATATTCATGAGGAAATCAAAGGATATTCTATTCTAGTATATGGGACCAAATAAATATCCTTTATATTCTATTTGAAAATTATTCAGAATTTTTTCTAGGGTCTATTAAGTTATGTATGCAGTTCAGAATATTTTTCAGTGACTGTCTGGAGTGGTTACTTAAAACATTTTTTTCATGGCTATATAAAGAGGATATTATATTTTAGCATTTGGGACAGAATGACCGACAATTTTTGGTGAGCTATGGGATTTTTACAATTTTCGAGGCTCTATAAATTTGGATTTTATTTAGAATATTTTTTCAATATCCATCTAAATATGAATATTTGTTGAAAATATTATTCATGCCTACATCAGAGGCAAAGTATAGTCTAATATTTGGGTTATTCTATTCTAGCATTTGGGATCAATTGCAATTGCTACTTTACAAGCGTTAGATAAAGCTTAAAGAGGCTTAAAAAGCTTTGTTTTATTGTCATAAATTTTGCAAAATAAAATGTGGCGGGCATTGCTTGAAGAGTGCGGCGAAAATTTTTCACAAATGATAGCGGGATGTGATGTGTTCATATCTTAGGGGCAAGTTATGGATATTTTCGGCCCAGCTTACCTGTGCTTGTGACATTTCTTCGAGTTCTTGAGCCAAACTATTTAATGTGCCATTCAATAGATGGCGACCCTCTTCAACGCCTCGTGTTAAGACAGCAGCCTGTAGTTCTTCGTTTTGTTCTTCCAAACCTAAAAGAGAAAGAAAACAGAATTTAGTAAATTTCTTGGAATTCTAAGAAAGCTACACTTTACCCTTATTCCTTTGTCTCATCTCTTCCAACTCTTGATGCAACTCCTCCAGTCTTATGGCCTCGGGTGATGTTGTGGGCATTGCCGGGCCCGTTTCGGCCCTCAAGCGTTCCAATTCTTTGCTCAATTCCAACATCAATTCCTCGGATGTTTTCTTTTCCTCTTCATATTTACGCTCCTTTTGCAGAGCCTCATCCAAGTCTTGCTGTAGCCCGGCAATACGATCTCGGGCCAATTCCAATTTCTCCTCGGTACGATGTAAATCACTGGCTTGTTTATCGCAGAGAACACGCAAACGTTGATTCTCTTCACGCAAAGCATTCGCTTCGATTTCAATTGTTTTGATTTTTATTTGACAATTTTCATTTTGCAAAGAGGCTTCACGTTCGGCACGGGCCAATAGTTCTCGATTGCGTTTTTGTTCCTCCGCCAGGCGTTCCTCGGCACGTAGTTCGGTCTGTAAGGGAGAAAAAAAGGAAATTAATAAGGATTTTAGATGGTAGTCAGAGATGGGACTTACTTCTCTAAGCTGCTCTTCGAGCATATCATATCGGGCCTGCAGCACAGCATATTCGGTTCTTGTGCGTGTGGTACGATCTTCTGCTATGACTTGAGTATCGGCCAGATCAGTGACTTGCTGTTGCAAGATTTGCAGCTGTAAAGATAACAAGAGGAAATGATGTTAGAAAAGTTGATAATTTCAGAAATTATAAAATATCAACTAAAAATAGAAGGGAATTTTTTCACCCGAAGGAAAATAAAATGGATATTCCGAACTTTTCGAAGAAAATTTTTTTGTCTTCCAAGAAAATTTTAAAATTTTCTTTTTAAAAAAAAACCTTGAAATATTTCCCAATGGTGGAATTTTGCATTGAAAATTCCAAATTTTTATTCCAAAATATTAAAATTCAGTACTCTTTGGGAAAATTACTCCATTGATAAAAAATTTCCATCAGAGGGAAATTTTTGTTTTCCGTGGAAATTTTAGAATATTGATTTCAAAATTTTTGTTTTCCATAAAAAATTTCAAAATGTTGATTTCCAAATCTTTTATTAGTTGATAATAGAGATATTCTGATCATTTTGGGAAATGTCCCCAATGAGAAAAATTTTCCTCGAAGGGAATTTTTTGTTTTCCAAGGAAATTTAAAAATTTTAATTTCAAAATACATACGTTGTTCATCATATTAAAATTCTGGACTTTTCAGAAAAATTTTCCAGGCGAGAAAAAATTTCCACCGAAGGGAATTTTTAGTTTTCCATAGAAAATTTTCAAAATTTTGATTCGGAAAAAATTCCCTTGTGAGAAAAAATATTCCTCGAAGGGAAATTTTTGTATTCCATGGAAATTTGAAAATTTTAATTTCAAAATACGTTTGTGGTCCTTGATATTAATAATCTTGACTTTTTGGAATAATTTCCCATTATCAAAATTTCAAAATTTTTATTTCAAAATACGTTCGTGGTCCATGATATTGATAATCTGGAGATTTTGGAAAAATTTCCCTATTGAGAATAAATTTCCCTCGAAGGGAAATTTTAGTTTTCCATAGAAATTTTAAAATTTTAATTTCAAAATACGTTCGTGGTCCATGATATCAATATTCTAGACTTTCCCAAAGAATTTCCCTTATGAGAACAAATTTCCCTCGAAAGAAAATTTTAGTTTTCCATGGAAATTTGAAAATTTTAATAGCAAAATACGTTCGTTGTGCTGATATAAATTTTTTTGGTCTTTTCGGAAAAATTTCCCCATTTAGAAAAAATTTCCCTCAAAGGGAAATTTTAGTTTTCCATGGAAATTTGAAAATTTTAATTTCAAAATACTTCAACATTCCATGATGTTAATATTTTTGACTTCTTGGAAAAAATTTCCGCGCGAGAAAAATTTCCATACAATTTCAAAATTTTTAAAATTTTATTATTAAAAAGATAGTATGGCCCGAATATAACGATTTTAGAATTTTTTAGTTTTCCATTAAAATTTTGATTTTTTTTTCGGACAAACAAATTTTTCTTTCGAGGGAAATTTTTTTTCAATGGTTATTTCAAAAAAAAAAGAAAAAAAAAAAAATCAAACACTCCTTTAGCATAAATTTCAAAATTCAATTCCTGTTTCGATATAACAAAAATATTTTTTTTCTAAATTATTTAATTTGTTATTGATGTTCTTTGTTTATTGTTGGTGGGTTTTCAATACTAACACAATCATTTTTCAAAACCAAAATATCTTTGAGCACATCATCCACAACACTGTCGGCCAACGTCGCCATGGGGCTTTTCAGAAACATTTGTTTAAAGTATCCGCGCGCGAATTCACACTCACACACACACCCTTAGACTTCGGAGTACTCCGTTTCTTGAACTTGGCTTTTCTTGGCTGATGGCCCACAACAGCCTCAGTTAGACACTTCTCACACGCTCGCTCGCTCGCTTACTATTCTGCTATTCAATGTTTTCGTATTGAAAATATGACGGACATTGTTTTCGTCGTTATTGCAGCAGCTTTATCAGTTGAATTGAAAAACATTGCGCGGTTTCGAGATATTCAGTCTGGTTGAATGTGTTTTTCCATGAAAAATTTTTTAAAAAAAGTGAAAAACTGAAATTTATCTACGACGTTTCGTAGATTTCCTTTAAAAATGTTTTAGTTACTGGGACGAAGTTTGACGGCGACTAAAACTGTTAGATGATGATGAGACAGCTATTGCCACCGAAGTGTGATGTGGCAGTCAAGTGTTAGAGCTGCTGGCAGCTTATTTTCAAATGCTAGCGAAGGCGTTAATTGCCTGTATTTTGCATCTCTTCCTACTAATAATGTTTGTTATTTTTTTATAGTTTTTTTTTTTTTTTTTTGAAATAAACAAAAACACAACAAATGTTTCACTTTGCGGTTCATAAATTGAATTAATCACAGTTTAGTGTTTACTTTGCTGGTTCAGCTCATTGACTTTGCCATGCTTGTGAGGAGGGTTGGCTGGCTAACTGTCGCACAACTTACTCTCTTTTTTGTGAGTGTTCTCTTTGAGAGTGGTGATAAGGAAACTTTTGTAGAGGCAAAACAGGGTGAAACACCGAAGACCTACTAAAGATCTTCTGTAAATAGAGGAGACTTTTGAGTCCCTATATAGAAAATCTATAAAATGAATTTAAAGATTTTGTTGCATACCCAAAAAGGCTCGTATTTCAGGAGGAGGCTTTTCGTATAGAAAAAATATCTTCAGTCGGTTTTTTTTTAAATTCGTAGAGAAAAAAACCTAGAAAAAGTGGATTCACACCATATTTTTAGGGAGTTACTCCAAAAGTGGAAACTATTTTTTCGAATAAAAACATTTCCTCAGGAACTAAGACAAGTTTTTCGTAGAGAAAAAACATTTTCTTAGGCACCATGGAGACTTTTTTGGTCTCCTAGGCACTGAAAAAGAAAACATTTTTTTGGGGTGTTACCCAAAAAAGGCTCGTATTTCAGGAGGAGGCTTTTCGTATAGAAAAAATATCTTTAGTCGGGGTTTTTTTTGTAAAAAAATTTTCGTAGAGAAAAAACCTAGAGAAAGTAGATCTCACAACATATTTTTAGGGAGTTACTCCAAAAGACTAGTAAATTTCCTCAAAAGCTGAGGAAAGAATTTTTTCGAATAAAAAACACTTTCTCAGGAACTAAGGCAAGTTTTTCGTAGAGAAAAACATTTTCTTAGGCATCATGGCGGCTTTTTGGTCTCCTAGGCACTAAAAAAGAAAACAATTTCTCAGGAGCGGACTTCCAGAGAATGGATTTGCAAGTATATTATACCCTCCACCATAGTATAGAGGGTATATTTAATTTGTCATTCCGTTTGTAATACCTCGAAATATACATTTTAGAAAATTGTCTGAGAAGGTCCACATCTTCGTACAGCCCCCTTATAATGGCACCTCCCCATATTCGGTTTTTGGATGATTTTAGCGATTCTATTCACCGGAAATGTTTCAAATTTGGTATTTAAAAATCGCAATGGATGCTACAGCCTATGACAGAAAATTGTGTGTGCAGGTCCACGTCTTAGTATAGCCCCCATATAACGGCAGCTCCGATATTCGGTATTTTCATGATTTTAGCGACATTATTCACCGGAATTCTTTTAAATTTTGTATTTGAAGTTCGTAATGGATACCACAACCTATGACAGAAAATTGTATGTGCAGGTCCACGGTTTGGTATAGCCCCCATATAACGGTAACTCCCGATATTCGGCTTTTGGATGATTTTAGATACATTATTCACCGAATTGGTTTCAAATTTAGTATTTGAAGTCCGTAATGGATGCTACAGCCTGTGACAGAAAATTGTCCGTGCAGGTCCACGTTTTAGTATAGCCCCCATACAACGGCACCTCCCGTTATTCGGCATTTTGATGATTTTAGCGACATTATTTACTGGATTTTTTTTTTAAATTTGGTATTTGAAGTCCGTAATGGATGCTACAGCCTATGAGAGAAAATTGTCTGTGCAGATCCACGCCTTCGTATAGTCCCCATATAACGGCACCTTCCGATATTCGGTATTTTGATGATTCTAGCTACATTATTCAACGGAATCGTTTCAAATTTGGTATTTGAAGTTCGTAATGGATATTACAAACTATGGCAGAAAAGTTTTTGTGCAGGATCACGTTTTCGTATAGCCTCCATATAAGGGTAACTTCCCATTTTCGGTATTTTGATAATTTAAGCGAAATTATTCACTGGAATTGTTTCAAATTTGGTATTTGAAGTTCGTAATGGATACTATAGCCTATGACAGAAAATTGTCTGTGCAGGTCCACGCCTTCGTATAGCCCCCATATAAGGGTACCTCACGATATTCGGTATTTTGGCGGTTTAAGGGACATTATTCACTGGAATTGTTTTAAATTTGGTATTTGAAGTTCCTAATGGACACTACAGCCTATGACAGAAAATTGTCTGTGCAGGTCCACGTCTTCGTACAGCCCCCATATAACGGCACCTCCTGGTATTCGGTATTTTGATGATTCTAGCTACATTATTCACCGGAAATGTTTCAAATTAGGTATTTGAAGTTCGTAATGGATACCACAACCTATGACAGAAAATTGTTTGTGCAGGCCCACGGTTTGGTATAGCCCTCATATAACGGAACCTCCCTATATTCGGTATTTGGAAAACTTTAACGACATTATTCACCGGAATTGTTTCAAATTTGGTATTTAAAGTTCGTAATGGATATTACAGCCTATGACAGAAAATTGTCGGTGAAGGTCCACGTCTTCGTGTAGCCCCCATATAACGGCACCTCAGATATTCGGTATTTTGATGATTCTAGCTACATTAGTCAACGGAATCGTTTCAAATTTGGTATTTGAAGTTCGTAATGGATACTACAACCTATGACAGAAAATTGTCTGTGCAGGTCCACGTTTTGGTATAGTCCTCCATGGTACCACCCTATATTCGGTATTTTGATGATTTTAGGAACATTATTCACCGGAATTGCTTCAAATTTGGTATTTGAAGTTCATAATGAACACTACAGCCTATGACAGAAAATTGTCTGTGCAAGTCCACGATTTGGTATAACCCCCATATAACAGTACCTCCGGATATTCGGTATTTTGATGATTTTTGTGACATTATTCACCGGAATTGTTTCAAATTTGG